CGAGGCTATGAACCCAGGTTATTTTCGTGGTTCTCTCATACGTTTATGTGGGTTTTTTGAATGCTGTTAGGGTCCAATTTGCTATTTTCATAAGCTGAATGTATTTGATGAAAGCTATGTTGACAAAATCTTGTGTAAGAGTTTAAACACTTAACCTGCGTTTCTGAAGGTGTTCCAAAGGTCAAGACTCTCCTAATTTGGCTATACATTACTTATGTGTCTTATACTGCTCAATTTCCAATTAATGTAATTGGTGATGATGGTGAGGTATTAATGGTTTTATTTTTTCGATAATTATTTATTAATAGTTAGTATTTCTATAATCGGAGGAACTGTCGGGCTGAGACATTTGAAGGTGAATGAGGATATTCATAATCTACTTCATCTTGCTACTTACTAAGTTCACGTATCTGATTACATTTTATTCTATAAGTGTATTTTTTCGGGTTTTGCGACTTTTTTTTTTTACTCCTAACATTTTAATTGTTAGTTTCTAGTAAATTATCTCTTATTTATTGGTTCTACTTCCTTTACATTTTTATCAAAACAAGGCTTGTAGTACTGATAGTGATTGAGAGGGGAAGAGGGGATATTGTTTTTTTCTATGTATGCTGCTATTTGAGCTCCTTTGTGTGATCAGCTTCAAGGGTCACGTCAGCTCTATGTGTCATGGTGCATTGTATATCAGGAGAATTAATATTGTGCGACATAAGGCATTGATGAGACTGAACTACATAACAAGGGGCGAGACGTCAGACCCTTACAGATTTGTTTTATTTTGATTATTTATGATTAGCTTAATTGCAACAGAAACAAGCTGGTAGAAACCGTCAACCAACATGCTCTTTAGGCGCTCAAAGCACAAGCGATAGCATTAAGTCACTTTACTATGTACAGCCTATTTTAGTCAATTTAGGATAGATTGAATGCCTGTGTTTGTTATCCATTTATTAACCGCCCAGTGTTGACCTAGACATTACTATAGTTTCGATATGCTGTACAAATATTTATACAGAGCGACCCAATGTAAAAGTGGATGTAGATGCGTCCTTTAGAAACAGGTAGGATAATCCCAGCCATAGAGCAGGCTTTCCGCAGACCCAAAGACAGCCTAAACTGAAATACATCTCTACTCAACTATTACCATGAATGTCATACCAGTAGCAATGGGAGTTCAACTAGTCACCACAAGTTCCCTGCCCTCCATATGACTTTTGTCGGAGCAGGAAGATGGGCATCTGTATGTTCCTTTGCGGAATACCAATCTCTGGACAAAAGCGCGTGTGTCACTATTGTGTGGAGATACACCAGTAATTATACTTTTCGTTCTACAGTACTGTTGAAACTATGAGATAGAGTTCATAGTGGCTTTGGGAAATCTGACACCCTCATTTATGCGATGTAATAGCGTGTTTGGCGTTATTGTTAGGAGTAGAGTCATCTTCCAAACCTTAGATAAACTGCGACATACAGAGAGCACATTCGAAGCCCTCGACGTGGTAGTTATTTCAATAACACTTGCGCGAGTGACATTTGTGGAGAGAATGAGATAATAACGTGTAGAACATTGAAACGATTAGCATGATGAGACGTTCAGAAACCCACACAGAGAAGAGAAGTGTAGCATGTACAAATGTGATGGATTTTAGTGAAGGCCCATCACAATTAACCATCACATCTTGAATGATGACAGTCCTGAAAAAAAACAAATTATATTTGCACAGTCAAGTACACATGGTATGACATAGGTGCAGTTTATAAGAGGAATGGGATATACTTCTGAACGTCGCGAGACCTGAAGCATCGTGCAAATTCAAAACAGACTCCACAAGACATATCAGGTTGTGATATAATTTATTAGACAAATGTACATGGTATATATCTTTAGTTCTATATTATAGTAACTAGTATGATTATCGAGACATATTATAATACTGTCAAATGTTTTGGTAGATAACTTCATTTTAGATGGAAAATGGTCGAGTACTTAGATATTCTAGTATTTTGTGCATTACATTTTATATAATGACTAAGTTATTAGGTATGAGCAGCTCTCACGAATTTTTGTATATTGAGAGGGTGTTTTTTTCATCAACAAGACAGTGATCCGTGTAAACTATTTAAGATAGTTTTGCCGTTAGTATATCGTAATACAGAAGGATTTAGCGTAGCGAGCTGATATATTGGATGGAGAGTTAGATTTACGTTGGTTGGTTGGAGGTGGTGAAGAAAGATTCAGTTGGTTACCCTGGGTGAGCTGGATGCGGTAAGTCAAGCTGATAGTGATCCATCGAATGCATGAGGTTGTGCCGCCATCAGTAAATAGTAACCAAAGACGTACTAACTCTAGTAACATGAATACAGTGTTTATGACGAGCATTTCTGTCTGTTCAGAGGAGCAGCGATTCTCCATTTTAAGCACATTTTACTAATATAAAATCACTGTCTTGCAGTCATTATCAATAGTAGAGAAATATATTATGCAGAGTCTGTGATATGAGTTTAAGAGAGAACATTCATTAAGGAAATATTCCCTCTGTTACGATGTTCTGGAACAAGTGCGCGTAATAGTCAAATAAGGAAAGGTGAGAAGTACATAGTGTTGTCTCTCCACCATACTAATGCAGTTGAAAGATTGAATGAAAATATCATAATTCTATATAATTTTCAACATTGAACATTTTCAAGTACAGCCTTGATGATTTTTTGTTCCTGAACATCATACGCGAAAACAGAAGTTCTTTTTCTGATCGTATTGAGCAAGTACTATTCAAAACTTTGGATTCGTAGTAGCCGCCCAGCAGACCACTTGGCTTGAGATTACACAAATCGGGAGAATTAGTATCTGCATCAGAGCTTTGAATAAATTATGCAACTGCCTATAATTTATCATCATTATTTTATACTAGTGTACCGGCACAACACAGCAGATAGTAGTTTCTGTGAGTGACACGAAAAAAAACTTATTCTTGCCTGGGTTTCATTTCTATTAGCAATTATTTAAATGCCCAAATGTTGACTTATTAATGGCCCAACTGTCCCAATAGCCCTCCCTTAAGTGAAATATGACTTCACTTCCCTCCCAGAATCTGCCTGGCAGCAGGAATGTCAGACATGTTTTCCATTCAGGACGTACTTCTTGGTGGGCCAATGCAGTAATCCCTCTCGAATGTACTCCAGGCTCAGTTTCAGCTGGCGCAAATCCAATAGTTGAATGTCTGCAAAGAAATAGAAAAGAATGTTAGAGAGTGTTAGGAACCAAAAAACAAGGCTGTGAATGTTATTGACAAAATGAAATAATCGAAATTCCACTTCTCAAATCACAGATGGAGCGAATAGCCCCTCCCAATAAAAACCTCATTCAACGGAAGCCTCAAAAGTGAGCCAGAAAAAAGGGAAAATAAAATTTTCTCCCTTAACTTGCAAGTTTCTCTCAACCAATAAGGGGCTTTTGCAATACTCTTTACTTGAAATCTGAAAGCACAGTATTATTAGCTAAATGTGCTAAAATGGAAGAAAGCTGCTTAAAGAATGTTATCATTATCTAGAGTTATATATTGTACTAATTACTGACAGCTACAAGCAGTGAACACAGCTGCATCAGTGTGTACTTTGTATTCTACGGGGGTAGTTTATCTATAGCAATTAATTCATATTTTACACGGATGCAATGTGGTTTTATGAAACCTTAATCTGCAAGGGACTGTAACTATAGCAGTCCATGTAAATGTATAAAAAATAGGAATATATGCAATATTTCCATCTAAAATGAAGTTAAATATAAGATACAGTGCTGCCAAAATAGTCAAAAATAAAAGTAAAATGTACTTAGTTACTAATCTACCACTGTACTTGGAGTCTGTTGTAAATTTGCACAGAGCTTCAGGTGGGTTAAGAAGAGTTTATCAGACGACCCCTTCCTCAGATGAGACTTATTGAGCAAATAGTGCTTGTTCAGACCCTGTCTTTACAGGAATGGTCATGTAGTTGAAATATTTGGCCCGCGCAAACTGGCAATCATGTACAGTTCTCCTCTCCTTGTCCCTCTGCGGGGTTAGGACTGGCCCCCTCATCAGCATGTTTCATGTTCTCAGAAGTTCCACTCCCAGTCCCTGACTACTGAAATACTGCCACAGGCCATAGCCTTGTGCAGACCGGTTGAAGACATGCGGCATCCATCCTAAAGTGAGGGGGGTCAGAGGTTAACACACACTTGAACTTCTCTTTAGTTTTCAAGTACGAGAACCAGATAACTGCGAGTCTTAACTGCGGATTTTGCGCAGAGAGCGCAGGAAGATCGTACAGATGAGCAGGGAACTTGTGGGCTGACATAGGAAATCCCAGTAACTGGTTGATCAGGTAGTTGGAGGTGATGTTGGCGTTGGGTCTGCGAAAAGCCTGCTCCAGCGTGGTTCCTCTTGAAGGACGACATCAAATGGTGCTCTGAAAAATGTACGAGGTACAAGGGGGTTAATAAGAAAGCAAAAAACACAGCATTCATCTCTGAGATAATGGGCTGCATAGTAACGTGCTTAATGCTAGCCTTGCCTTTAGTGCCCCAGAGATTGTTGGACCGTTTCTACCACTGTTTCTGTGCTAGCTAATCTAAAAACTTCAAATAGGCGCTGATCTCCCCCCCTTGTTTGTTTCATCTCTTATGCCGTTTGTCCCGATTAACATCTGTTTATGCATGATATGCGAGCAGTCTGAAGCTGAAAAGGCGTGCAATGATGCAAAAAAATTCCCTCAATTCATTACAACTAAAAGTTACAAGCCTGTTTTGAAAATGTAAGGAGTAGAAAGTAGAGATATTTGTATAAATGTAGGGAAGCGTCTAAAAATAAAAAAGTCGACAGAAAATACCACTTAAGTAATTGTAGTGAAGCGGGACAACAATATTGTGGGATGCCAGCAGGCGCAGACAAAACAGCTCTATAAATATCCGCCTGCAGTGACAGGTTTCGATTACCTTTAAGGAAGACAACAAACAATGTACCTACCAATCTCTCCCCAGTGGAACGGGTTGATGCCTCCAGTCGTGCAGTTGTACACCAGAGCTGATTTAGGTCTGCAGAGTGTGGGAGAATAAGGTCATAATCATGCTGATAAAAATACGTACTAGTCTACATTTCCTGGTAACACTGCACTGTACGAGTCTGTTTAAGCTATGAAGCTATGGTGCTATGATCACAAACCCATTTAAAAAAAGAAAAACAGGTATATTTTTCTCTTGACAGAACACATGCAGGCCTTTAAAAAGACTTCTGACAAGACACTGGATATACATATAGCCTGAGAAACTAAATTAACCTCTTAAAGTTAACATAATTTCCAATGCGGGAGTCAATACTTAACTTATATTTTTCTGTTTTTCTGTTTTCCTTCTGAAAATAAGTACAGGTTGTCAGGTACATAAACACTGGTATAATCACATAACATGCAATGTTGA